CCGGAATCCCACGTTCTCGCCACTCGGTGCTGCCTCCCTAAACTCTGCCCTTTCTGGTTGCACTTTTGTTTCTGTGTGTTTGGTTGTTTATCCTCGGCCTCTTTCTGTCTTTTCTCATAAGCTGTTTCGGGCAGCAGAGGCCCTAGCACTGTGGTCTGCTCCAACCTTTCTTGTATTCTTTATAGCTTCTCCCCAAACTCCTATTTTTACTTTGTGAAAAGAGTGAAAACAAAGAAGCACTAAAAAAAAAAGTTAAATGTTTAAATATGTAAAAAGTGACTTCTGGCTGGGCGGGGTGGTTCGCCCCTGTAATCTCAGCACTTTGGGAGGCTGAGGCTGGCAGATCACGAGGTCGGGTGTTTGAGACCATCTGGCCAAAGTGGTAAAACCCTGTCTCTACTAAATATACAAAAATTAGCTGGATGTGGTGGTGTGTGCCTGTAATCCCAGCTACTTAGGAGACTGAGGCATGAGAATCACTTGAACCCAGGAGGCAGAGGTTGCAGTAAGCTGAGATCACTCCACTGTACACCAGCCTGGTGAGAGAGTGAGACTCTGTCTCAAAAAAAAAAAAAAAAGTGAGTTTTATTTTTAGCCTCCACTTTAAGTAAATAATCACCCAGAATCCCCTCACAATGGCCATGCAATGTCACAAGTGATTGTGAGCCCGTGTCAAAGTTTGATTTCCAAGTTGCTGCCAGGGAGAGGTTTTTGAGCAAGTCAGTTCAGTGAGTCCCCAGAGATGTTTTCTGGAAAGAGAATGGTTAGAAAATCAGAGTGTGTGTGAGTGTGTGTGTGTGTGTGTGCGTGTGTGTGCGTGTGTGTGTGTGTGTGACAGTCTCACTCCGTCTCCCAGACTAGAGTGCAGTGATGTAATCACGGCTCATTGCAGCCTCAACCTCCCAGGTTCAAGTGAGCCTCCTACCTTCTCTTCCCAAGTAGATGGGACCACAGGTGCACACTACAATGCCTGGCTAAGGTTTTTGTTTGTTTTCTTTTTGTTTTTCCATTTTTTGTAGAGACAAGGTCTCGCTATGTTGCTTACGCTGATCTTGAACTCCTGGGCCCAAGCAATGCTCTCATCTCAGTCTCTAGGTTGGGTTAAAAAAAAGTCTGGCCAGGTGCTGTGGTTCACGCCTGTAATCCCAGCACTTGGGAGGCCGAGGCGCGTGGATCATGAGGTCAAGAGATCAAGACCATCCTGGCCAACATGGTGAAACCCCGTCTCTACTAAAAATACAAAGATTAGCTGGGTGTGGTGGTGCATGCCTGTAGCCCCAGCTACTCAGGAGGTTGAGGCAGGAGAATTGCCTGAACCCGGGAGATGGAAGTTGCAGTGAGCCAAGATCATGCCACTGCACTGCACTCCAGCCTGGGTGACACAGCAAGATACCTTCTAAAAAAAAAAAAGGAAATTCTGCCCTTTGCCACAACGTGGAGGAAGCTTGAGGACATTGTGCTAAGTAAAATAGCAGACACAGAAAGACCAATACTGTATGCTCTCACTTGTATGAGGATTCTACAAAAGTCAAATTCATAGAAGCAGAGAGAAGGGTGGTTTGTCAGAGGTTGAGGGTGGGATGAGGAAAATGGAGAGATATTGATCAAATGATACAAACTTTCATTTGTCAGATGAATGAATTCTGGGAGTCTAATGTATAGCAAGTATAGTATACTTGAAATTTGCTAAATTTTAAGTGTCCTTACCACCCGCCATGTGCACATTCACAAACAGTAACTATGTATGGTGATGAATATGTTAACTTGATTGTAGTAACGATTTCATGTGTATTTGTATATCAAATCATCACATTGTATACCTTGAATATATACACTTATTTGTTAATTATACCTCAATAAAACTGGGGAAAAACTTTTTTTTTTTTTAATAAAGACGGGGTTGTATTATGTTGCCCAGGCTGGTCTTGAATGCCTGGGCTCAAGTAATTCTCCCACCTTGTCCTCCCCAAGGACTGGGATTATAGGCATGAGCCACTCTGCCTGGCCCATAAATATTTTAAAAAGAGGGTCCATAGATGTAGGTCCATAGAAAGTGATACCCATTTTCCAAATTTCAGATTCTTCATCTTCTTAGTGGACAGCACAATCTGCTCTTCGTGAAAATGAGGTCCCTAATGGGCAGATGCTCGCTTTAGACAAATTCAAAGGTTTTCACTGAATATTAGCCAGAGAAACAAAAGCCTGATTCATTCTCAGAAAAAGCCTGTGATTTACCACAGAATAGCTCTAAATTCTTTTAAAAAATTAGGATTCTCTGAGCTAGGACCATTCAGCAACAGGAAATATGCAGTTTCCAGTTGCCATCTGTTTACTGTTTACCCCTGAATTCTGTCTTCAATAAGTTAGCGATTCTCTGGTGGTTCTCCTGTATGTTTGAGTTTAGTGTGCTTTTTTGTTTGGTTGGTTTTTTGTTTGTTTCTTTGACAGTCTGGTTTGGTCTCCCAGGCTGGAGTGCAGTGGCATGATCTTGGCTCACTGCAACCTCTGCCTCCCAGGTTTAAGTGATTCTCATTGGCCTCCTGAGTAGCTGGGATTACAGGCATGCACCACCATGCCTGGTTTTTTTTTTTAAAGAAATAAGGTCTCCTTCTGTCACCCAGGCTTTAGTACAGAGACACATCATAGCTCACTGCAGCCTTGAACTCATGGGCTCAAGTGATCCTCCCGCCTTGGCATCTCTGGTACTAATGG